GTATTTCCTCCACATAAGCACAGCTCTTGCTTAGCCCCACAGCCTAAACAAGATAAGTATTTAGAGGAAACATATAACCTGGTCCACAGCTTCCTACCTGGCCTCCTGCTGTGTCTTCCTTATCAAGTTATCTTACATCCTACCTGCTGCATAACTATCCTAAATCATTGCTTCCATCTTGTCAATTCTTCAAAATTCCTCAATAATTACTCATTATTAAATTAAATTATAACTTCTTTAACTGTTTATTTTGGAAGAATTATAGACACAGGAGATTGCACAGGAAGTCCCATGCACCCTTCCCTCAGCCCCCCGCCCCCAATGTTAACATTCTACGCAACTCTTGTACAATATCAAAACCAAGAAGTTGGTACAATCCGTAAAGCTTACCCAGATTCCATCATTTACATGTACCCTACTTGCACGTGTGTGCACACACATAGACTTGCATGTATAGCTCCATGCTGTCTTATCACATGTGTAGCCTTGGGTAACCACCACCACAATCAAGATACTCAACTGTTACCCTTTTGTAGCCTTACCCATCCCCCATCCCTACCCCTGGCAACTAATAATCTGGTTTTCCTCTTTATAATTATTTCACAAATGTTACACACTTCTTTCTTTTTACTGAAGAGTTGTATTCCATGGTATGGATATACCACGGTTTAACCATTCATCCTCTGAAAGACATATGAGTAGTTTCCAGTTTAAGGCTATTACCAATGAAGTTGTTATGAATACTCATGTACAGGTTCTTGTGTGAAAACAAGCCTTAATTTTCCAGGAAAAATTGCCTGTGTACCCTTCGTAGCCTCACTTTACCAAAATTACAATTCTGCTCCCCATACTCTAGTCAAACGGGCCTACTTGTGCTGTTTTCTCTTCCTCTCCAGTTTCTAATCCTTTTATCATTGTTTTCATATTTATTTTTATTTATTTTTAAGAGCTGTCTCAAATCACTTTTTGAAAGTGGATGAAGAAATAAATTAATATAGACATAGAATAAGAATTAATAAATGGAGGGAAAAAATAAATGAGATGATAGAATATTTCATCAATCCTGTCCCCATAAAATGTAATTCCTCTTTTCTATAAGCTAAACTTCTCTTATAAAACCTATGTTCTGCCACACTCTTATAGACGCATTCTTGCCTTATACCTCCATTAAAACAGAAAATTCCCTGGAGACAGATTTCTTGTTTATATCCACTCAAGCACCAAATACGGTGCTTCTGTTGGAGCAGGAGCTCAAGCTATACAGAATCTTCATTGTGATGAATGGATAAATTAAATATCTCTAACCTAATAAGGCTCATAGTCTAACCAGGAAACCTGGATGTTATATTTACATAAAAAGATAACTAATAATATAAGGCTATACAGGCTAGGTGACAAAGAGCAACGAGTGTTACGGAGTATAGAGTAGTGACAATCCTTTCTGAGACAGTTGGGGTATGCTTCCTATAGGAGGTTATGTTTGAGGAAAACCTTGAATAGATGAGTAGAACTTGAGCAGAAGAGGAAGTCCTTTTTTGGTAGCCATTATTTAAAGGACAACATATGGGTTGATGTCATCCTTTGTAGCTGCAGGATAATATTCCATAGGATGAACTTGTCACAATCTATTTAAACATTCTCCTACTGATGAACAGTTTGTATCACTTAGAATTAAGTTTGCATCCATGTTACCAAAAAAAATAATAACAACAGTGTCATAAACACAACATACTTATGTATTTCTCTCTTGTGTGAAAGAAGCCCAGATGTAGAGAATTCGGTGTTGGTACATGGGACTCCATGGTCTTCAGGCACCAAACTTCATTTTTCAGCTCCACCATCCTAGTACATGGATTCTGTTTCCAAGGTTGCCTCATGACCCCTTCCAACACATCTTGTTACAGGCAACTAGAAGAAAAAAGGAAGAACCAAATGGCCCATCTGCCAGCTAAGCCAGCTCCCTTTATGCACCTTCCTGAAGTTTCATATAATACCTCCAGTTCTATCTCAGTGGCCAAAACTTAGTTATATGACTATGCCTAGCTGCAAGGGAAGCTGAAAAAAATTGGCCTTTTACATGAGTGTATTGCTGTCCCAAACAAAATTAAGATGCTAAGGAGAGAACAGAACTGAGGTTACCAGAGGTGGGAAGGGAGGGGTAAGGGAGGATTGGTAAAGGGCCACAAAAAATTATTACATGTGTAATGCTGAATACACTAATTATCCTGATTTGAGCATCACATATTGCACACAGATAATGATATTCAACTCTGTACCTCACAGATATGTACAATCAACTATTAAATTTATTAAATTAAATTAAATTAAATTAAATTAAGATTTTGTAACTAGGAAATGATAACAACCAGCAGTGAAAAAGCAAAACTGATGAAGACATGAGTAAGTATGTACTTCATCTCCTATAGTCAGGAAAAAAAGTAAAAAAGCACTTTACACCCTGACCCTGAAATAAAGGGGGGGAAAAAAGAGCATTCCATATAGTTCTAGTAAAATAGAAGAAACCTTGATACTGACTCCCTAACAAACTATTCCTGAATTTTGCAATATTTTTGTGATAATCATGTCTGATTTTCCACCATGAGCAGACTAAACATAACTTGGGAACCCTGTTAGCATTTTTTTAAATTACCTGTTGTATTTTTTAATCAACAAGCTAGTTCTTTTGAACGTGGACTCCCTGCAGAACTCTGCAAGTAAACTATTTTTCTTTTCTTAGTGCTTCTATGCCTCTAAGTCTTCCTTTCACAGCATTCTCAATCACAAGATGATTTCTAGTTTTTCACTATTACAAATCATGGTGTATCAAACAACTTGTAAATGCCTACATGTGTACATGGTGATATTCCTCAAACATAAATACCTTGAAAAGGACCTGCTGGGACAAATGATATGCATATTTTCAATATATTCTACCAAACTTCTGCCCAAAGAGCTGTACCAATTTATTCTCCCACCATCACCATATGAGAGTCCCTGATTTCTCACACATCACCAACATATGAGATTATCACTTTTTTTTTTTTTGGCAAATCTGATGGGCAAAAAATGTCTCGTTATTTTCAACTCCCATTTCCCTAATTACTATCTAGATTGAACATAACATGTTTATTGGTCTTCAAACTATTGGTTCTTATCTTCTGCCCATTTGCATTGTCTTCTTACTGATTTACAGGAATTCTTTATGTTATCTGGATATTAGTCTTCTATTATAAATGTCATTACTATTTTCTTCCAGTCTATCACTTACCTTTTTACTTTATGGTATCATTTGTTTTACAAAGTATCAAACTTTGATGTAGTCAAATTTATGATTCACTTCTTTTATAACTTCTGGGGTTTTGTCTTGCTTAAAAAGACCTTCCCACCCAAAAATTACAAACGTATTGACTTCTAATACTTTGGGGTTAGCTTGTTATATTTAACCCATAAGTAATTTTTTTTTTCTTAAAGATGACTGGTAAGGGGATCTTAACCCTTGTTGTCAGCACCACACTCTCCCAAGTGAGCTAATGGGCCATCCCTATATTGGGATCCGAAGCAGTGGCCTTGGTGTTACCAACACCACACCCTCCCAAGTGAGCCACGGGCTGGCCCTAGTAATTTATTTTTATATGTGGTATGATGTAGAACTTTCTCTAATTATTTTGTTAAGAGGATAGTGAATTGTCCCAACACTATATATTGAAAGATCTATTCACTCCCCTACTTTGAAATGTTATCTTTACTATATGTCCAATTATCACACAGAATTAAGACTGTTTCTGGACTTCATTTTTCAGATCCACCTGTCCATTTATACACCAATACTACAAATGACCAAAGCTTTATAGTAAGCTTAGATATCTGGTAAATCAGGGTCCTCCCTATTGTATCTTTAAAAAAACAAAAGTTGGCTATTCTCATAAATTTTCTCTTCCAAGTGAATTTCGGAATGTTTATTAAATTGCATTTAAAAATTCTGAATTTTGTTTTTATTGGGATTGCCTCAAATTTATGGATTAGGAATTACCTGTTCTTGTTAAAAGCAATCGCATGTTTTCAAAATTAACATGTATTTACTGAGTACCTACTATGTGCTAAGGTTTGTGGGCAATTCAAAAGATTTTAGACAGCCCTTGCCCTACAGAAATGTATAACCTGATTAGGAGTGAAAAAAAGATATAAACTAGTGTACTAAAAGACAAATATCTATAGAATTAAACTTGTAGTTCACTCATCGTCATTATAGTATGCACTTTGAGGCTTATTTTCCACCTCTAATTTTACTTGTTTTTGTTTTTAGTTTGGCCTTTTTTATTTTTATTTTTTATGTTTTTTGCTTTTTAAATACCTGGCAAAGTATTGAGTGTTTACATACATAATCGATTTATTTTTCAGTCACCCTAAGTAAGAAATTCTATTATCATCCCCATTTTACAGATAAGAAAGTTGAAACTCGAATAAGTTAAGTAACTCCCAAAACCACAGAGCAAGAAGGTGGAGGACAGCTAGGATTTGAAACCAAGTTTCCCTACTCCAGCAACCAGAGTGCCTCCCCTTCTTCCTTCCCCCTTTAAATTCCTGCTACTTTGTCAAATGCCAAAAAAAAAAAAAAAATCACCTCTGAAATAAGAATAGGGAATGAATAAATGAATAACATCCAGCATCGCTTCCTGTTGCATCCTCTCCACAGACACCCAGCGAATGGTAAAAGCGTGGGTGGGGAATGAAGGAACGTTCCCCACCGCTGTCCGGGTTGGACCTGTCAGCGTTCCTCTCTTTCCCTTCCCTTAAGCTAAGACCAGAGCTCACGACATAATTTGCGGGGCCCTGTGCAAAACGAAAATGTGGGGGCCCTTGTTCAAAATTACTGAGAATTTCAAGAGGGGACGACACAGCATTAACCGAAGCGCGAGGCCCAGGGCACCAATCCTACACCCGAGAAGCAGGCCCTCGCTAAGAGTCCGCCCGTTTTCTAACATCAGTCTCCGGCTTTGCAGATTCCCAGCCCTGCTCTGACGAAGAAGGATGCTCGGAAGTCTTCCTCCCCACAGACAGCGACTACGACTCCAGTGACGCCCTGAGCCCCCGAGACCTGGACCTGGTCTACCTGTCGTCGCACGACATCGCCCAGCAGGCCCTAAGTGGGCTGAGCGGCAGCGCCCCTGACGTCCTGCAGGTGCACGACACGAAGCCCCCGCGGGGGTCGGGCCAGGACACCCAGGGCCGGGTCCAGGTCCCAGGTACCGACCACGCGTGCGCTGAGTTCCTCCACAGCCTGACCCTCACGGGCTTGGCGCCCAAGAACCACGCCAAGATGGCCCCGGGCACGCAGCCGCCGCCGGGCTTCCTGGGAAAGCGGAAGCCGGGCAAGCACCAGCACTACGGCGGCTTCAGCCGCCACCACCGCTGGCTGCGCATGCACGGCGAGGCACAGTCGCTGTCGCTCTCCGAGGGCATTTATACACCGCACCTATCCCGGGCCTGCGGCCTGGCCCGGGAGCCGGGGGAGGCCGAGCCACCCGGACCCGCCGTCGATGGGCCCCGGGGTCTGGCTCTGACCCATGCCGCCAGCCTCCCTGAGGAGCAGAAGAGCAGCCTCCGGGACGCGAGGCCTTCGGTGCACCGCATCTACGTGGAGCCCTACCCCGCGGCCCTCGTGGGCCAGGACGCAAAGCCTTGGGCCGGCTTGAGCCGGTCTCCTGGAGGCCGCGCTGGCCTGCCCAGCCCCACAGGCCAAGAGATGAGCCCAGAGGGTCCCACCACTTCCCCGGTGTCAGAAATACTCAGCAGCATGCTGTAGGGAAGCTGTCCACTGGTCCACCACCATTCCTGGCATTTTACATCATCCTGTCCCCAGCCTGCCCCACTGTGTTCCCACCCGTTTTCAAACCTTTTGAATGTTACAAATCCAAAGAATACAGGTTCAAGACCCCCTTCTTTTTACAGCAGAGTCGGGATGGAGGTCAGAGTTGCCAGTGCCATTCCCGGTTCAGCCTAGAAAGGGCATGGAGGACTTTTTGTGTTAACATGGAGTCCTAGACACAGTGATTCCAAAATGCCACCCTGTTGGTGGTACCTGAGGCCAAGGTAGGCCAGCCCAAAGAGACAGCTCTGCAGCTGCTTCTGTAATCTGACCCCTGTGTTTAGGGCTCATCCATGAATTTGTGATTGATGATGAGGAGTTCTATAGATGAAAATAAGAGTAGCACAGTTTTTCCCTCCATTCCAAACCTTTAGAAAAGTTTTGGGGAAAGAGGCCCAAGTTGTGCTTCTAGGGAATGGGGCCAAGTGGACTTGTCCTCCTGGGTTCCTTGTTAGCTAAACCAGGTCATTCCAAAGTGCGAGGCTCCCAGGACTCACCAAATCCAACTTATCTATTTACCTGATTAAGCAGGCCTTGGACAAGCCTTTTCTTGCTTAGTGCTATGTGGAAGCCACCAGAAAAAAAAGTAGAGGACGCTTCTCTTCCAGCTCTGTCTTGAAGGTAGAATAGGGCAAGAAGTGGCCCTTCCTGCACATTCAAGCATGAAAATGAGCTGTAAATTGTTCCAGGGTGCAAAGAGAGGGCTGAGTTTCATGAAAGCCTGAATTACAGACTAGACAAGGGACGGGAGAGACACATGAGCAAAAATGTATTTGCTTTGCAATTCTAAAATAAGCAAAGTAAGTCCATGGGGGCTGTGTCTCTGGAAATCATAGTGGATCTGCTCTGGATTCTTAAGTAATGAAATTGGCATTGAGCAAGAAAATGCCCTGCAGATATGGCCAGGCAGTGATAGGCTTCTCACAGCCCCACAGGCACATCCACTCACCCCACATCACAGGTCAAAGGATAGATTCGCCAGGGCTGGGATGCCTGCCTTACCCTTTCAACCTACCCTTCCCACGGTCAGTTTTGTCTCAAGATCATCTGGCCCATTGGCCTCAGGGAAAATTTTTCTTTACAAGACTCTGCCAGTGGTGTATTCCAAGGATGTGCTTAAAAACACCTGGAAATCCTGTTTTGGTCTCTTGCCTCCTACCTGAATTTCTCACAAATGAGAAACCCAAATCAAAGAGAAATCACATTGCATGGTCAGGAAAGGAATGAGTCTTCTCATCTCCTGTAGCTGAGACCCATTCAGCTCACTGACATTCTAAAAGGTCCTTTTCTGCTTCACAAGCATTTTGGTTAAATATTGCTCTTTATGGCCCTATCCTTGTCCTCACAATACTACCATTCCTCCTCATGGGAGTTCATACAAAGTCCCCTGCTCACAATGTTATTCTGATCTCTTCCATTTTTAAAACATTTGATTTAAACATAAATAATTGCCCTGTTGGAAAGGTACAGATTTGGATCATGGCCTATGGTCATTAGAAAACTAAAGCCTGGAGCTCAGTCTATTTTTTTAGAACTCCCTAAAGAATCTTGATCAGAATCACTATAGCTCCTTTTCCATGCCTAGGAGGATTTAAAATTCAGTTTTCTTCTGTCGTAAGTGAATTCTGTGTGCATACAAGGAGTGAGTGTTGGAACTAGAAGGGACCATAAAATTCATCTAAACCTTTGGTTTAAAGATAGAGCAGTTAGGCCCAGAGAGGTTAAGTGACTTACTCTAGGTCACAGAGCTGGTTTAGTCTCAGAATTAGGGTCAGAACCCAGAACCAATCCCTTTAAAACAGGCTGTCCCACTGGGAATTGGTACATACCTATCAAATTGTGATCGTCTACTGGCTACTTACCTATTTTGCAAATCATCCATCTACTTCTAATTCCAAATTCAAGTCCTCTGCTCAACCTTTACCTGAAGAATACAAATTTCACATAATAGACATCTAGGCTAAGTTAATCAATTAAAAAGTAAATCTGGGAGAAATGTCATTTCAAATTATGACTCCTAGTTAAATAATAGGAATGACAGAGTCATCTGCACTCATTTTCTATTTATTTCTAATTATTATACTGGTTGAATATGTTGATTGAGTTTGTTAGATGAGATGCTGGAATTGTCAAGAACTAAGAAGACAAGTGATTCTGATTCTGACCATTCTGGTGACACGGGAGGAAGTTTGTGACTGTGAGCTAGATGGTATTCGACAAGCAGCAAAGGCAGAGACTGGCCCACTCTTCTGACCCTGCATTTGGTCAACACATTCTGGCATGCTGGACGAAATTGCATTAATTTTAAACACTAATTTATACTAGGGACATGGGTTTATTTTTTCATCGTCTATGAGGAGAACAGGCATTCCCATGAAATGAATAATGAGATGATTTCAACTAGCAATATTCCTATATAAAAGTGGATATTTTATATCCTTAATAATTATCTATTTGTTCAGGAAGGTTCCCCCATACCTTCCCTTTGCAACCCTTTATGACTACAGTTTAAAAATAGTACATTCTTGTGATAGACAATTTATTCTCTAATACACAGTCCTTAATTCATTTGGCCAATTTTTCAATTACAGAGATTTTACAATGTCTGGGGATTTCTTTCTTCCATTTTATTGTTTTTGTTTTGTTTTCTTTTGAACAAGATGGACTTTTGTCTTTCATTCTTTTTAAGTCCAGTCTGAGACTTTCCTGTCCCAGGTCTTCTTTTCCAGGATTTTTCTAACATGTTTTAGTTTCATCTGTATTATTCGGCTCTCATCGTTCGTGAAAATCCTCAAAAATTATTGACTGAGCCCCTCCCATATGTCTATTTCAATACTAAATCCCACAAAGAATCAAGTGTGAAACACATTCCCGGGCCAAAAGGAGCTCAAAATTTGATCTAAGAATGTAGCCGTGCGTTCACCATGCATCTTCTCATCGAAGTCTTAGAAGAGGCAGGAGCCTGTCTCCTCAGCCAGGTAGACATAGTGCAGGTGAATTAGACATCTCTGATTGCACTCTTGCTGTCTATTCATGAGGGAGGATAGCCTGGAAAATGCCAAGTCGCAGATATGTTTATGCTTGGAAACCATTTACAAAGCTATCACATCTTCTTAATTGGTGAGGATACCTGGGAGACAGTAATTAAAAACATTCAGTCCAGGGGATAAATATTTTAAGTGGGTATGTAAAGTTGAGATCCATGCCATTTTAAGAACATTCACTAATGCTTGAAGCAATAATTACATTGAAGAAAATGGTTCCATTTGGTTTGAAAATTGAAGCCAGTTAATAATCATATTCCACCAGTCCCCTTTCCTGAAGGATCCCAAAGCACTTTATGAAAAGCAATGACTGAAGCCTTGTTGTACTCCCCTAAAGAGACCTTGTCCAGAAGCCACCTGGCAAGCACCTACCCCATCCTGGCCAGGAGATCGTGCCAGACAAGTGGAAAAGAGGACTAGCCTCTCATTCATTGTTATCCTGCCACACAAATGTGCATCCTGGTGAGTGTTGACCTCTTCCCTTGCAGATAACTCTGTTAGACAAGGAGGCTTACCAGAAAATCCCAACTCCTCGGACTCCTCTTGTTCCTCACCCTCCACCCAAGAGGTGCTTTCTCTGGAAGAACTATCAATTCAAGCTGTTAGGGAGTCTGGGGTGCATTTAAGTTTTCTAGTTATGTCCACAGCGCACAGAATTCACTGGCTTCTGAAGATGTATACGCATTAGGAAGATGATGCTATTATTCTATAACTCTCATAACTTTGTATATAGCAGAGCTACAGCAGAGAGTGTGCATCTCTCGGCATATTTGTCTATTAAACTATAACATACCAATTTGAGAGGGTAGTTATAGATTAACAAATAACATTCTCAGAAAATTCAAAGTACTATATTGTCACTTCATAAAATCTAAATATTTTTCCAGATGATTCAATGAAGCAAATCTGGACTTTTTTTTTCAAGGTCATACATATCCTTAAGGACATTTTTTAAAGAGCTATTTGGAAAGCAATGGTATCTCTTCATAAGTGATAGGATGAACAAGGAAAAAAATTTGTTTCTTTGCCGGTCCCTCTCATAAGATGTTCAAACACATGGCTTATGACTGTTAAGCTAAACTTCAATGCAGCCTTATGAACAACAAGGGTAGTGTATTTGAAACTACGTTGTACAGCTTGGAAACTTATTCTAAGATCTTAATTCAGAGTTTTTCTGAGGTGTTGAACTTTGCCATTAGCAAAAAGTATTTTTAGAAAAATCCATTGACTGTTTATGAAGCACTGATTTTGCCATATTTTGGGTCTCTGGTTTTTCCACCACATCTACACACTGTAGTTATGTTTGTTTTTTCAATTATTTCTTCTATTTCCATTAATAATGAATCTGTAAAATGGATATTCAAAAGGACAGTTGGTTTTGTTTAACTATCAGGTAAGTAAACTGTAAAAATATTCTATTTTGATAAAGGAAGGATGAGGTTTGTTTTTGTTTTAAATACTGTTTTAGGGTCTTTCCTCTCCAGATATATACATTTTTTACTTTAGCAAAAGCCAATATTTAACTTAGTGGCAAATGTTATGAAGCTATTAGTTAATGCTCTTTGCTCCTCTTCCTCACAGTGACCACCATCCAGTAGCTGATTTACAGAAGCCAAGTCTGGCAAATTATTTTAAGTCACTGTGAGTTGCCGTGCTGCCTCTTGCCTTGTAACAAAACAGATGTTTGGGATATCCCATGTATATGGTCACAAACATCAAACTGGTGGAAAAAGAAAATGGGGGGGCGGGGAGAGGGATGTTTCATAGAAAAAGTAATTCAAGTGACATTCTATTAGGCAATGTTTAATTGCTTCCTGCCTAATGTGTACATAGTAATCTGGCTGATTATTGGTTGTTATTTGTTCAGAATTTATTGTATCTTGTTGCTATGTT